CCTCATCTATCTCTGCAGCCGTAGCTCCTAGTACAGGACCTGGCACGTGATAGACCTTCTTGGATAAGAAAGGAATTAATGTACCTGTTCACCAGTAACGGTTGGGGACATGGACTTGCTTCTTATAGGCAGAGCAAAGGAGAGAGTGATTCAAAGAAACGAGTTACTTCAGTGAACCTGTAGGCTCATTTGTAGGAGGAGATCGATTCTTTTGGGCAAGAGGGCCCACCCATGGCTCTGCCAGCATTTCCCCAGAACTACCATTGTGTTTTGGTGTTAGTTTTCCCTCCTCATGATACTGACTTTCTCCATTATGTCACCAGGAAGTAAGTTTCAGCCATTGGTGGACATTTGTGATCAGCGGTTAGTAAACTGTAGACCCTGGGCCAGATCTTGCCCACTGTGTGTTTTTGTTAATAAAATTTTATTGGAACACAGTCGTATCCATTTGTTTATGTATTGTCTGTGGCTGTTTTGTGTTACCATGACAGAGTTGAGTAGTTGTGAAAGACTGTATGCCCACAAAGCCTAAAATATTTACTACCTGAGTGGCTGGGACTAGAGGTGTGCACACCGCCATGCCCGGCTAAATTTTCTTATTTTTTGTAGAGATGCGGTTTTGCTATGTTGCCATCCTGGCGCAAGTGATCCTCCCACCTTGGCCTCCCAGAGTACTGGGATTACAGGCATGAGCCACCGCGCCTGGCTGCTACCTGGCCCTTTGTAGGAAGTTTACTAACTCGTTTTGGCTGATAAATGCTTTCCATCAGCCCACAGTTCCTGGTTTTGCAGTGCATGCGTAAAGGGTTTGAAAGGCTCAGATCCCCTACTCCCTGGCCGAGGAACTTTGGGCAAATCATTGAGGTACTACGAGGTCTTTTCCTCATCTGTAAAATGGGCACTGAAAACAATGCCTACCTCGCAGGTGGTTCTGTGCACTGCTCGTGAGAGCACTTTGTGCATGTCAGTCCGGCTGTGGACATTATCACTGCCCTTCTCTTTCTCAGGAGGAGGAGGCCAAGAAGCTGGTGAGTGAAGCCATTGCAGCCGGCATCTTCAATGACTTGGGGTCTGGAAGCAACATTGATCTCTGTGTCATCAGCAAGAGCAAGCTGGATTTTCTCCGCCCATACTCGGTGCCCAACAAGAAGGGGACCAGGTAAGTGAAGGAGATGAAATTCTTTGTGTCCCTGGCTTTGTGGCCACCCTTGATATCTCACGACATCTGGACAGAGTTTTCTTGATTCTTTCCCACAGTGTGTAAACCCAGTGTTCCCAGGTCGGCCGCACACCACTGACCTTTAGTCATGACTCGCTTTATGACAGTGGGCCGCTGGCGGGGGCAGGGAAGTGATTTAATTTGTAAGATGCTGATGGGAGAGGTGGAGTGGGGCCCGGTAAAGAGCCCTGGGCTGGGAGGTAGGGAGGCGAGGTGTCAATCATCTGCTTTCCTTTCTCCAGTATCTCAAAGAATCCCCTGACTTCTGTGAGAAGTTGCATTTTTCAGGGCAGCCAGCCAATCGCTTTTCCTCACAGTTCTCCAAGCCTCCTAAAAGGGTACAAAACAGTGCATCCCAGCGTTAGCCTTGGGAGCTAACTGGTGCCTGCTACGCTGGAGTCATGCCCTTTAGCCTGTGGTATATGCTGTGCAGGCCCCTAGTCTCAGGTGTGGCCCAGGCTTAGAGTGGTGGGAGAAGGTTCTAGTTGATTCGCTGAACAGAACTGGAAGGCTTCCAAGCCTGGTGGCTAGTGCATGTGCAGATGAGCAGCTCTGCTTGCAGCGCCTCAGGGGCATCTAGCTGCATGACTGTCCTGGGGCTCCTGACTGCCACTGGGAGCCCGAGCTGCCCAGCATGCGGTCCCCAGCTCTGCTTCCAGCCGCAGTCACCTGAGTGTAGCACAGCAGTGTTTATCCACTTACCACCTCCCATTTAGCCCCACGGCTAGCCCAGAGGATAGCTCGCATCACCTTCTGGCATGCGTGCTTTAATCCCCCACTACAGGAGTAATTCACAAGGAGAGAATAGAACACTGAAAACCAGCGGGCATTCATTGCAGTCTGCACTCAACCGTTGCGGGGGATCAGCGAGCTCTGAGGGCTGGGGCGGGCAGCATGGCAGCACCGCTCTGGCCTGGGGTTGGGGCGTGTCAGTGGCTGTCTTGGTGAATTTAGGCAAGTCAATCTTCCGGTGTTTGAAATGGCAGGGCTAGACCATAGGCACCTCTAATGAGCCCACCAAGTCCTTGGCACCTTTGGCAGAAAGGGAAGCCACCTTTCAGGCCCAGAGCTATGCTGGGGGTGCCACATACGTACCTCCATGGCCTGCTTCCCAGGTTATTTGCAAGATGTTGCGGGACTTGCACAAGCCCGTGGTGAAGAAGTGATGGGGGAGGGAGGACGGAACAGAGTCCTGGGTGAGGATTTTGAAAGCCACGTTTCAGCCTTGAGAAATTTCGTTTATGGTTGTCCAGGGAACCTGTGCTCAGTGCAGGAGTCCTTGTCCTAAAGGGAGCACAGCAGTGACACATCTCACCTGGGGACATGAGTCACTCAGCTGTGAAGGAGACTACACGCACAAGAACAGAAATAAAACAGCTGGTGCCTAGTTACGAAGACTTAGGCGATGTGGAAGGTGCTGGGCGTGTGGCGGGTGTGCAGCGACCTGTCCTCTACGTGGAGCTGTTGCAGCAACAGCGTCCCCACTTTCTGGAATCTCGCTGTCATCTTTTCTGCCAGTGACCACTCTTGGGGGTGCTGCCTGGGTTAGGGGAGTTCTTTCTCGGCGTGGACGGGTAGGCCAAGGGCAGAGCCATGGGCCTAGGCAAGCACTCCGTGCCCAGCGCTAGTGTGGACCTGCCTTCCTAATTCCTGCCACCGCCTCTGCTCTGTCCTCCACAGTCCTGTCTTGCAGTCCACTGTTGCGTAAGGTGGAAGCCCTCCCTGCATGCTGTCGAAATCGGGCACTGTCACCCAGGGTGGTGACGAGGCTCTGGTGTGTCCAAGCCTCCTAAAGACATTGAGGTGCAGTTCAGATGAGTCGGGCACAGAGGCCACGTGGGACTCTGGCTGCAAGACTACATGCTGACGCCAGGGTTCCAGCCTGGTCAGGAATGAGTGACATCTTCAAACCAGCGGGGAAGGGAGAGGGACACATTTTAAAAAGGTGCTATGCTCAGATCCTTTAAGAAAGTGTGGTGGGGACAGGAAGGCTTTGCAGAATAAAGGCTATCCATTCCTTGTTGCCTGAGCTCCCGATTTTGATAGTGAACTCTAAGTTGCCCTCCTTTTCCTACTTCCTGCTCCCTCTTTAAGCCCAAGTGCCCATTTGAGAGATTGGGTTTTCCTGGAGCTACATGGTCATGGCACAGCCAGCAGCCCTGTTAGTCCATGCCAATTGGACAGAAATGCTGTCCCAGCTGGGGACAGACTAGAGGAACTGTTAGGTTTATCTGTTGGACAGTATCATAATTCTGACCCGGTGTGAGAATTAACAGTCCCAATATGTATCTTATAGACTGCCTTGTGCTCAGAGAAACCTGTCAGATTCACTCCAAGGAAGGTGGTGTGAGGTGTGTCCTAGTGGTGATCCACTGTCCCCCCGGGGACAGTTACTTCTCTCTTCTTGAATCTTGAGAGTAGTCTAAAATGACAAGCCCAGAGTCTGGCTGCACATCATTTTTATGCTGTTTATGATGCAGATATTTTTGAAGTATGTAAGGTAATAAAACAGTTAAGTCATCCTTGGTGCACAAGAGGAGGACAATCACAAGAGGATTTGCTTCCTGTCGGCTTCAGTGACCAAGTGTTTCCCAGCATGTGCTGGGGAAAGACACTGGAGCGTCCCCATTTTGCAGTGCTTGAGAGCTGAGGAAAGTGAGTGTTGGGGACATTTCCGCCCCCTGCTCCCCGCCAGTCACAGAGCTTGGATCAAGAGCACGATGATTCCAGGCCAGCCTGCCTACCGCCTGCCTAAATATTTTCATTCTCTCCAGCCCTCTCTGGCACCCTAAGGGGAATCCTAACTCCGTGTTTTTCTCTCGCTAGGTTTGGCCGGTACAGGTGTGAGAAAGGGACGACTGCAGTCCTCACTGAAAAAGTCACTACCCTGGAAATTGAGGTGCTGGAAGAAACAGTCCAAACGATGGACACTTCCTGAATGGTGTCCGTGGGTGGCTGGCTACTGCTATGGAAGACGGGGGGCATCTGAGGCACCCTGTACAACATTCGTTTGGCGAGTGTTTGCTGAATGAAACTCAATAAAATGACAACCGAATTGGGTGGCTGATGCCTGGGGATTGTGTGGATTTTTTCTTTTGGCTGCCAAGGCCCGTCCACCTGGCCTCCCTTTCAGGATGGTGATCCTCCTTGAGCACCAGTCTAGGTTCAGGTGAGTGTAAAAGCAACGTGACCCTCCTGAGGATGGACGAGGCTTCGTCTGTTGCCAGAAGTCAGGGTGGGTTACTTTGATTCTTCAGATGGACATTTCTCCCCACCCCTTTTGCCAACATACTTTAAGGGTGGCTTCAGGTTTGGTTTTGTTTTTTTTTTAAATAGGGTGTTAAGTGCAGCACAGCATTCCTCAGCGGACAAGTAGGAAAGAAATGTCAAAGAGAATCTCCAAGTTCAAGTTCTCAAGGCCCAAGAGAAGGCAGGCAGGTGGACTCCACTGTGGCCAGTTATGTGGAAATCAAAGGAATGTTTTAGGGTATGCTGTTTTTTTAATAACGAAGACATGATCATTTCACTAACACTCAGGCCCGGCAAGTGGCTGAGATTGTAATGCGTCTAGAGCGTCCAATTAGACAAATTATCCTCACGGCATGGAAGGTGGACGGCATGTAGAACATGAGTCCACTTGCGTGCTGAGGCTCACTGCCCGGGGGAGACACAGTAGGGACTCTGAGAGCCAGAGGCAGAATATTTGGGAAAAAAAAAAAATCTGTCTAAAATCAGAAAAGCTTTCAGTGGTAAGTGCTAGGCAGGAGATAGGGACTTGGATCTCGCCCACACAGGCCATTCGGGGGTGCGCCCACTCTCAGGCCAGCTTCCCTCGTCACAACTGGCAGGAGTGAGCTGGGGAGAACAACAGAATTGTTGAGGGCAGAAACTGGGCTGATGATTATCAAAATTATTTGGAGAGCTTAAGAAATAATCCCCAGATTACTCAATGTCTGGGGCCTGGGAAGTTGTTTTGAAAGGCGATTCAAGAATTTGTGCTGCTGACACTTTTAAATTTTGTATCTACTGGTTTAAGAGCAAAATCTCCAAAGCTGTTTTAAAATCATTCATGACTTGTACCCTTGCACAGAAGTAACTCCTCTCACCCTGTTTTATTTCAAACATGGAGAACAAGTACAGAGGAAAGGCTGCATCTGGAGAGCATCTGGAGAGTCCCCCGAGCTGACAGTGTCACAGTAGAACCGAGCCCACGCACGGCAGCAGAGCAGCGGCCCAGCCTGGGGTCATCGCAGGGAGGCTTGGTCAGCGGGTTTGCTGTAGGCAGCCAGGTGAGTGTCAGGAAGCACCTGCCCAGGACGCCCAGTGGTGCTCTCTGGAGGGCTAAACTGTCATCTGGTCAGGGACGACAGTGTAGACCATTGAGGGTTAACTTGAGCATAAAAACAAAATTCAAAATATTTCCTTCAGAGTTTGAGTTTTCTTAAGTTCACATTTATAAATTAGTCTTCACAGTTAATCCTATTTGGGAACAAGAAATAAATGAACACATTTTCTGGTTTCCTACACATATTACAGTTGTACTTTAATTCTTGGCTTACACAGTCTGTGGACTTCAGTTTTGTGAATGAGTGAGGGGCTGCCATCTACATTGTGTTAGCTAACTTGGATATTTTATTTCAAATTCTGTCAGCAACCCTAAAGGTAGATACTATTAATCCCATTTTACAGATAAGGAAACTAAGGCTCAGAGTGGCTAAGAAACTTGCCCAAAGTCACACTAGGAAGTTGCAGAACCAGAATTTGTAAAGGGCAGCCCTTAAGTTTTCTGTATCCCATGGAGGGAGGAGGACACTTAACACTGATCAGGCCATGAGCTCAACCAGGCTGCAAGGAAAACACTCCTGGCTTCAAACACCATTTGCCTTGAGAAGTTCTGTGCCAGATGCTGGGTTCTCCTCATCGTCATTCATCAAGTTATAAAATGTAGACAAAAATATTAGCAAAATCTCCATTCTACTTAAAAAAATTATTTCCACTTTATCCCTTTACAACAGAGTAAATTAAGCACAACAGCTTGATTGTTTGAAAAGATACGAAGAGCTAAACTGAACTTGGTACTAACCATTTTCAAAGGCTCACTACACAAATCACACAGTCTATTAGCATAAACCTTGGCAGGTCACTGGAGGAATTATCCTAAAGATTCACATTACAATCCAGATACAAGGAGGGGCTTCAGTGGCTTGCTGAACCACCTTCCCTTGTGAACCCAGCTGAGATTGTCCACAACACTATAAAGAAAGGACTTTTGCATTTGACCATCAGCGCCCCTCCCCCAGCTGCTCTGCATTCAGCATCTGCTGTAAAGCTGGGCCCCCTTTTGGGGAACTTGCTGAACCCTGTTGTCTTAGCTGTTCTAGGCTACCAGGTGGCCATTTTGGGGAGGAGGAGACTCAAGGCAGAGTGGTGCTGGCTTTTGGTAAGGCCTGGTGCATCTGTGCTCAGGTGCTCGATGTCCAGACGTGCATCTGTTTGGCCACCTGGTGCACATAGCCGATGTCAGGTCTCTGGTTGGGGTCGGGGTAGATGCACATGCTGACCAGTTCTCGTAACTGCAAGGGAGAGAACACGGTTACTCCTAAGAAGGCCGCCTTGCAGAGGCTCCACGCTCAGCACTTCTGTCTACATTAACGTACTTAATCCTCGCAGCAACTAGGTTGTCCTAGTGTCCCCATTAGAGGTGAAGAATGATGCTTAGCCAGGGTAACAGCTCACACAGCTCCCAAGAGATGGCCAGGACCACGCCTAGGCCTGTCTACCCCCAAAGGCCACAGTTGGAGACCCTGAGAATGGTCGCCTCCAAATAACTTTGAACTCTCAACTGTCCACACCACTGGGCAAGTCTGTTTGTGTCTGTTGTCACTCACACAGATGCCCAAAGCAGAGGACAAAACTCAAGGAAAGGGCTTATTGATCATAATAAGCGCATTAACATGCAGCAGGGCTGCAGTCTGTCCACCCCCTGGCCTCTCTATTGTGCTCATGAAAGACGGAGCTTTTAATTATACAGACACCGAGGCTGCTCCCGCCTCGAGGTGGGGGAGGAGTGCCTTGTGCCTCTGATCGCCTCCGTTCTTCTGATAGCCAGAGTGCCAATTATTTTAATGGTAATTAAAATAATGACCTTAAAAAGCCTACATCTTAACTTTCATCACAGGCTCACCACAATGGTTTTCATTTAAATACCTGCTGCTGGTGCCTGGCCCTGTAGGTCGTCGCAGCAGCAGAGAGAGGGGAGGGCCTGAGCAAGAGGGGGCTCAGGTGGACTCAGTGGCCGTGTTCCAGGTGTTCTGGAGGCCCAGCGGCTACTACTGCACTGTCCCCAGGCTGAGGGGGCCGGGGCCTGGGCTTCTTGCAAACAAGGGATCCTCTGGATCGGGCATTTGCTAACTGGTCTGTGGAGCCTCCAACCTGCGTGCACCTTTCTGGGATTCCAGTGCTGCGCACACACTGGAAGCCCGGGATGACAGCTGGACGCTCCTGGAGTCTCAGGGTGCCTATGGATGAGACAGTACTTTTCTGAACCTTACGACATTCAGGGTAAGGTACCTCTGGTTGGCGTCTAACAGGAAACCAGATGTAGGCGAAGTCCGTGGGACCTGAACTACTCATTTATGAGTAGACCACACAGCTGGCAATAAGTCCGTATTTGAAATTTTCAGAAATAAAAATAATAGTGTCTTGTCTTCATTTCTAAGAGGTGACAGACTTTAAAATGGGGTATGCAGAGGGGCTCCTCAGCAGCCCTCTCGCTCCCAGACATGGGGCTAGGAATGCTGCCGGGGACCCGTGAGAGCTGGTGCTCAGGAGCTCCTGAGGATGGAGCCGCAGACTCGGGAGAGGGCGGCTGTGGGCAGAAAGGATGGTTCCCTTTAGAGACTGGCAACTGAAGCACAAAGTTGTGACTGGCTCCAAGTTGCTTGGCTCAAAGCGTCTTGCTTCCGAACAGGACAGAAGTCCATAAACACAAGAAGAGAAAGGAAAAAGTGAATGGCAGCTACTGTGTAGACAGGTAACTAGTTTTTTCCTTTCCTGCCAGCTGGTACTGGAGAGCATAGTTCCTTCCTCCAAAGGTACAGATGAGAGCTTTGCACGCGCAGAGGCCAGAGAGGAAGGCACCGAACCTCTCTCCACGCCCTGCAGGTTGGGGCAGGCCGTGCAGGCCACCAGGGAAGGTCACAGCACGTGGGATCTGGCCTTTGTGGCTCGGCCTGGGCAAGGGTGCTCCTTCCAAAGCCTCACCCCAACTGGTCATCTGGGTTCAGATCCTGCCTCACCACTTAAAGTTACGTCAACGTGGGCAAGTTCCTTAACCCTTCTGGGTCTTGGTTTCCTTACGGTAAAATGGGGCGAGGCAGGGATTCAGCACAGGAAACCTGAATGAGCTGTTGTTACCACGAGGCAAGGGCCTGTGGTCCTGTGGGGCAGCCCGGGAAGGCCTCAGCCTCACCCACTAGCATTGACCTTGAACAGAAATAAACATCACAGATGACATTTAGTGAGCACTGACTCTGAGCCAGGCCCTGTGCTATATCCAGGGGCTACTTTTTTTTTTTTTTTTTTGAGGCAGAGTCTTGCTCTGTTGCCCAGCTTGGGTGCAAGTGAACCACTGCGTCTGGCGCAGGAGCTATGTTTGATGGTGCTGGTAGCCTGGTGCTCGAGACTGGTCCTGGGTGGAAGATTCTCATATGCCCCCATTTTACAAATGAAGAAACAGACTCGGGGAAGTCAAGTGACTCACCCAGGAATAGTCAAGGGCGTGTGTGAATCTATGTCTGTCTACACCCTTAATCACCAAGCTTTGAAACCTGTCCTTTCATCCTCAGATTTTATCCATGAAGGAGCCGTTAATATACACTAGCCCTATCTTTAAAATGCTGGGACTGAGGAAGATGACATTCACACACAGCTGGTGACTGGGACAGCCCGATGCCAGACCTTCTGGAGTCTCTCCACAGCCCCTGCACTGAGTGTCAAACACTGGAAGTAGAAACCCGAGGTGTGACTTGAGCCTGTTAACAGAAAGGAGGCTGACCAGTCCTCTCCTGAGGTTTCCCATCACGGAAGCAGAGTGGCAGCCATCGGTGGGATGGGGGAGCTGGGCCTGCCCACCTCCTCCCTCCCTCGCTGGTCCCAGTGTCTGGTGCCACATGGAGCATGTCCTTGGGACCTGCAGCAGTAAGCCTCACTCCAGAACTGAGCTGGGTGCCAAACCGGCAGAGGTGTGCCAACGGGCCCCATCAGCCAGCTCCCGCTAGCTCCCGCTGGCTCCTGCCTGAGGGGCGCCCACCCCAGTGTTGGGGGAACCCCTTCTTCAGTAAAATTCAATTACTCTTCCTCCTCTGAATCACTCTTCCAGAAAGCTTCCCTGCTCTACCCTGTAGAGCGAACCCAAGCTCAAGCCCACAGCTGTGGCGTTTGGGCACTGCCCCTCAGGAGCTACTGAGGGTGGCCAGGCCTGGCCTCTGGGACCAGCAACTCACCTTCTCCGAGTAGTGCTCTCCAGGGAGAGGTGGGTAGTCGCACTGCTCGATCTTCTGGCAGAGGGAGAAGAGGTTCATCTTATCCCCATAGAAGGGGCTCTGGAGAGCTGCCATCTGCAAAGGGAGGGGACAGCTGTGAGGGCCAAAAGGACTCAAGAGGCAGGAGGGGGCCCTCCGCACGGAGGTGAGGACCTCTGGTCCTTGCTGCACTAGCCGTCCAGCAGGACTTCTGCCCGGAAACCCCAAGCAAGCCGGGACTCACCAGAAAGGAGCGACGGTAACGTGATCCTCGTACAGGTGCGTTCACTAGGGGCGAGGGGTTCAGTGGCAAAACTAAAGGCAGCAAGGAAGGGGCAACCACGTGCTGGGGGCAAATCCCCTCCTCGCTTCTGCCTCAGCCCTCAAGGACCTTCTGTGGTCGTGAACACGTGGCAGATGGGGCCTGGGTCTGCAGCCACGGTGCCCCCTGGATCCTAGCCCTGCACTTGCTGTGTCTGGCCCCAACTGCAGGCCTGTGGGGAGGCTGAGGCTGGCACCTGCAGGCGGCACCGCCGGCTGAGCCAACACCACCTCTGCTGAGGCGAGGCCCGCGGCAGCCAGGGCAGGAGTCCTGGCGTGGGCGGTCACTACCGGGCCGGCCCCTGCTGGAGGGTGCCCGGGCTCCCCTCCCCACCCCCCATTCAGAGCACTGCTGGGGGCACTTTCCAAACAGGGCGTGCAGGGGACATGAGCAACATCTGCTGATTAACCTCTAATAGGATTCAAGTGCTTCTTGTCACTCCTGCTGCCACCTACCTACTGCCAAATGACAGGCCCAGTGCCTCCTGCTAATGAGTGCCATCGGGTAAGTGCCCCCTCCTGTCCACGGAGCCCTGGTCCCCTTCCGAGGAGCCGGACTGTCAGGGCCACTCTGCTCTGGCCGTACGGGGCCCCGGGACACCTGAGGAATCCCACTCGCCCTCACACCCTGGGTGGGGCCAGAGAGCCCATCTCAGGGCAGGACGAGGCCAACGGCTTCGTTTCCTGGTCTTCATCCACCCTCTGCTCACCCCTGTGAACAGGTCTGGTGACCCCAAGAGAGGCGCCTGCCTTCTCCGGAAGGGCCCAGGGGAGCTTCAGAGCCCTGAGAGCGTCCTTGGGTTTGCAGATAGCCCCTGGGGAGGCAGCAGAGTGGGGCCTGGAGATCGGGGGGTTTCCTCGGACTCGGGTCCAGCATCTGTGGGGCCGGGTGCCTGCGCCGTGGCGCGTGCTTTCAGGTGGGTGTTTGGGGCAGCATCGCCGCGCTCCTCCCACTGACCAGGGGCTCGGGCGCTCTGAGGAGGGGTAGGAACCCATCTGGACCACAAAAGCCACCCTTGCAGGAAGCAGTCCGGCCCTGGCAGCGGGAGGGTGAGAACGCAGAGGCCCTGCCCATGGGCCCGACTGCGAACAGCTTCACCAGCCAGTCTGCAAAACGGTGATGCGTGTCCAGTAATGGAAACGAGAACCTCGGCTGCAAAGGGCTGACTGCGCAGTTTCAAAGGACAGCTGTTGCCACAGCAGAGAGCAGCTGCGACTCCAGAGTGGTCACTCGGCTTGATCTGGGTGCCCTCTGAGTTGTGGCTGGAGGATGAAGATGGATTTCCCTGGGCACTGTTTCGGTTTAGGGTAGAAAGGGTGTCTCCGTGTTGGTCGTGTTAACACGGGCCCTGGTCTTTCATGTGTCTGACCTGGGAGAGGAGGAACTGGCCAACCTTTCAACAAGCCAATCTGCTTTTTACAAACCTTGCTGCTTGGGACTCCAAAGGCCCCAGAAAATTGAGGGGGGCAGTGAGCCCCCAAACTGCCATCCCCTTCCTCTCCATTCTATCCGGCACCTTCCCCACACGGTTTCTGGCTGAACAGGGTCGGCAATCTCAGCCTTCCCGCTAACGGGCTCCTCTGTCGGCAAGCGCAGATTCCAGCAGGAGCCCGGCCCTCTCCCGCTCCGCGGCTGGCCGCGGGCCTTCCACCCGAATCAGGGGCCGGGCTGTGAAGCAAGCTCTGGGCTGCTGGGATTAGGACGATTACCCCAATGGCACGATCTCCTCCGACCGGTGGCCGCGCAGCCTCTGGCTGGTGGAGGCGGAAGGGGCCTCGTTAGAACCATGGCTCTCAGTGCTGTCCTCAGCTGCAAAGCCACTTCTCTCTGGTGTTACTGGGGTGACATGTAGCCAAGGAAAGGGGGCCATGAACCCCGCTGGGAGGGCTCAGAGAAACTGGCGTGTGATCCGAGATGTCAGAGGGAGGAGGAGTCTGACTCCCGCCTGTGAGGGCCGCAGACAGCCGGCCCCTCGCCGCCCATCGCCCGAGCACGTGCTGTACCGAAGGGAGACCAGCGGAGAAGCCCCACGTGCCGGCAGCCCTGCTCCACCAGGGCGGGGTATCCAGACTGTTCCGCCGCCCAGGCAGGACCCTGGAGCAGCATTCCCGACACAGCACGCCTGGTCCCGCCACCGTCCTGCAGGGTCTCAGTCCCAGGAGGGCCCCTCGAGGCTGCTGTGAGAAGGACCCCCCAGTGAGGACCCTGGGGCTGGCGCCAGACGAGCCAATGCCTCCCGCTCTGTGCTCGGAGCCGAGCTCCCACGTAAATAAATACATTCTGCGGCGCGCAGGCAGCCCGCGGGGCTCCTCTGCGGGGCGAGCGGGGTAATGGAAATTAAGCGCCGGGCCTGCGACGCGGCCGTGCTCAGGCACCTCTGCCGAGGGGGCTCCGCACCACCTGGCCTGCGTGTCCCTGAGTCCCTCCGGTGGCCAGGGCAGCGGTGCCGAGCCGTGGGCACGTTTCTCCTGATGCTGGCCTCTTCAAGGCAGACGCCACCGGGCACCGAGCCCAGAGGGCCGCTTGTGGCAGCTCCTCACTAGCCACGGGTCAACGTCGGCATCTTCAGGTGACCCCTCAGAAGGTCCTCGGCAACACCTGGAAGCCCAGGTTTGAAAGGCGGTGTGGTGGGCTCAACAATGGGCGCAAAGACCGCCACAGCCTACTAGTCTTTGGAACCTGTAAATGTCGCCTAACAGGGCGACAGGATTTGGCAGATGTGATTAGATTTAGGCTCCTGAGGCGGGGAGAGCGTGCTGGATCATGCAGGCGGCCGCTGCAGGAGGAAGGTGGGGGCAGAGTGACCGCAGGAGGGCAGGTGGGGGGAGCGGTACGAGGAGGTGGCCTTTCCATCTTCCAGGGCAGAGGCAAGGAAACACATTTGCCCCTAGAGCCTGCAGAAGGAACCTGCCCTGCTGACACCTTGACTTCAGCTCTGTGGGGCTGACGTGGGACTTCTGCTCTCCACAGCTGTGAGAGAATAAATTCACGTTGTTGGAAGCCGTCAACTCTGGCGTAATCCGTTACTGCAGCCATGGGAAACGAGTAGGGGGGTCTTTGAGACGTCCAAAGCCGCACTGGGGTTCAGGAGCAGCAGGTGCGCCGTCCCCTCAGGCCCCAACCATCCTGACCCTAGTGTGTGCTCCCCCGAGGAACCCGCAGACATGGTCTGCAGGGGTGGGGGCTTTGTCACAGCTCTTCACGCTGGCGCCCCTGGAAGACACCACAGGCTGTGGAGCGGGAGGCTCCAGCCGTGACTGCGCGACGTCTCCTGTCAATTACGCAGCCCTGGGCTCAGACGCCGCTCCCTCCCTGTCCGCTGGGAAACACCCGCTTCCCTCCCCACCCGGAGTGGGGAGGGGGTGCCAGCCTAGGGCAGACCCCTGCCCCGTCACCTGGGAGGGGCTGGCCACAGACAGCCATGCCAGTCACACAAGGCCTCTTCTGTGGGGGGCCAGGGCCATTGGGTTTAGATCAACACCCGCTGTCCCTGAGGATGGCCGAGCCCCACAAGACCAGACTGATTTTGTTGACTTCTGCTGCCGACACATCCCTGCCTGCTGCCAGCCTCAGCCCCAAATTCCCAACAAATAAACCAGCTCAGGGGAACCGGAGCCTCAACGCTGCCTTATTACATGTGCATTCGGGTGCCCAAGACAACGAGGGCCGCCCGACCTGGAACCCAGTGAGGCTGGCGCTGCGGGCCTGGCAAGGGCTGGGCTGCATCTACATCGGAGCAGCCGAGACAGGTGCAGGCAGGGAACAGGGCTGTCACCTGCAGGGCTGGTTCTCGAGCGGAAGGCTTGGCACGAGCAGGGGAAACAGCTGCCATCCTCCCTGGCCCCGGCCCTGGGGAGACACCCCCAGCTCTTGTCAGCCTGCTCGGCCAGTGTTTGTTGATGTCTGGAGACCCTCATGGTTCAGAGAGAGCAGGAAGTGGCTTACAAAAATAGAAAGTCCAGAATGGAAAAAGAAGAGGAAAAACCCATCTGGACTAGGGACAACACACGTGAGGACAGGAAGAAAAAGTAGAGTGCTCTACGGGGACTGAAGCTGAGCTGTACTTTGGCTTCCCACTGGCCAAAGCAAAAAGGGCAATGTGGCAGTCTTTGGGGCCTCACTGTGGGAGGTGGGCAGCACGTGCCAACCCCTCAGCTTGCCCTAGGCCAGCGGGCTCCTGGATAGGCCTGAGGGCCTGCTCCAAGCTGGATGCCACACCCTCAGACACCCAGGACCTCATCTCCTCACTCCACGGCGGGCTGTGGCCCCATTCCACACGCAGGCAAGCGGAACCTGTGGGGGAGGGGCCGGCCCTTCCGTGGGCGAGCGCTGGGGCAGGGATTCGGACCTCGGGTCCTGCTGAGCAAGTCTGGGCTCCCGCCGGGACCCTGCATCTCTCCCCCGGGTTACCACGACCGTGTGAGTTGCCTACACACATACGTGTGCTCTCAGGCAAAACCGCACTCCCTGACCGCCTGCTATGCTGACGGCTTTTGCTTGCACCTTGAGAGGCCCAGGACGGCTGTCCCCACCCCTCGGGACCTGACACCTGGGTGGCGATGCCCACTTTGAGGTGGGTCTGAATCCCCTCTTCAGATCCCAGGCCGGGGCAGGGCTGTTGACCCTGGAGCACTGAGCCAGGCGAGAGTCGGGCTTCTGCGTGACATGGGCTTGGCTTTGTCACTGGCCTTGGTGGCCTCAGTGGCCAGAATATTTACCCGCAGGAGTGACTGCTGGAGGGATGGCTGGAGAGACCCCGAACTCATGATTCGTCTTGGGTGACAAACACTGCCAGTGCCACAGCAGTTCTGTGTAACTCAGTGACGCCCCTGCAGCTTGGCCCCCTTGGTCTTACTTGCCTTGTGGCAAAACAGACACACACACTCCCTTCCCGGGGCTACTGCGAACGTGCAGGCCGCGGGGTGCCCAGTATAAGCAGGTCTCTTTCCTGCTGCTGCTGTGGAGTCCTGACTTTCATCTTTTCTCCTGTTGCTAAAGCCACTGACTTCCCTCTCGACTTCCTCCTAAATCCACTGTCCCCCTAAGCTCCCCGCCCACGCTGCTCAATGCTCCTGACTCCACACCCGCCCAGGAGCCGGGCGGGTCGGAGGAGGACGCACAGCTCAGCCCGCTCCCACCAGCAGCCCCCAAGCTGTGCTCCACACTCCCCGGACCACCACAGCCACGCGAGTAGGTGCCTCCCACCTTGGCCGCGCCAGCTAGGTGCCCCGTGAAAGAACTCCCCCTGCAACCAACGCCCTGTGGGGTCCCGAAAAGAGCACGCGGCCTGCTTCCCACCTGTCCGTCGGGCTGGACTCACCCACGGACCCTCGAGAGGACGCTGTGGGTCACCCACGCCTGCTGACCCCCTCCCAGAGGAAGGGGTCCCAAGCACCAATGTCACAAGGGCCGCATCTCCAGCCAAGCTTTGCAAATGAAATATCTGCTCTTACAGTCACAGCCACTGGCTTATAAAGAAAGATGCCGTGGAGTTTAGACCTTGCAAAGGGATCAGAGTTTTGATCTCAGGGTCTCGATCTGTAACGCAGAGCGGGGAAATCCTGCCGCCAAAAGACCTGGACGGTGAGGGCTGCCACCGTCCCACAAGGCCCGGCAGTGGGCAGCATATTCCTCGAGCTCATACACAGGGCTGGGAGGCGAACACTCAGAGTTGACAGTCCCAGCGGGGCAAAGAAATCTCTGTGGACACCAACAAAACACTGGAGGCAGCCCCCGGACACACTGTCCTGAGTGCCACTGCTGTGGACAGGCACCAGCCACATCAGCTTAACACTGAGCTTCTTTCAGCGTAACAGCTCCAAGCCAGACCCCACATACGCTCCAGCGAAACAGAAAGAATCAAGGTTTTGATTCCAAAACCAAGCTGTGGTGTCGCAAGGCCCTTGGGGGTTTCCAAAGCCCTTTTCTGTCATTTCATTTATCAGGACGATGACAACACAAGACGGGTGGGGGACAGGCGCAGCAGGATGGCCAGAATCCTGGAGCTGCCCAGCACCAGGGGGTCTAGGGCAGGGTGGCAGGAGGGTGTGGCCACCAACTTGGAGACAGCGGCGTGCTCAGGCCTCCCTCCTGTTTGGTGGCTGCAATAGCTTCAAGGCCGAGAGTGGCTCGTGCTCCCCAGACCCTCGGTTACCTGGCTCAGGGGAGGGGCAGTGGTCTTTAGTGAGACCCACGTTGGAGGAACGTGGCCACCCCCCAGTGGGGAGCGATCCAGAGGCATGAGCCAGGTGTGACTATTCTCCTGTCCCCAGCCCCTGCACGGGGCCTGGTCCATCAGCCAATAATGAACAATAAACAAATCATCTGTATGTTAATGTGGTTACCAGGGAAATGGGGGGTAGCCGGGGGGTCTGGGGCAAGCACCCATCCTCTGAGCAGCCAGACCCCCTGCTGTGCTCCCCCGGTGGGCTTCTTCTGGCCTGTCTCCCTTCCTAAATCTGAGCAGCCCAGGTGGGACGGCCCAGCCTGCCACTGTCCGGCCCGCTAACCTTGCCAGCCTGGCATTGCGACCGGGCCCCATGCTGGGCTGAGGTGGGTGGACGTGGACTGGCCGGGCGAGCCCTGCGCTGACTGGGGCCCCCTGGCGCGTGTCCCACCCAATGCCACGGAGCCGTGAGCCAGAGGCTTACCTCGTACAACAAACAGCCCAGGGACCAGATGTCGGACTTGAAGTTGTAGCCGTTCTCGTGGATCCTCTCCGGCGACATGTAGTACGGCGTCCCCACTGAAACACGGCAAGGGACAGGTGCTTACATTCACGCAGGGACACGCTGCAGGAGCACAGGGTGAGGGGAGGCAAGCGGGAGCTGGGGAGACAGAGCCCAGGCTCTGAGCAGCCCCCCTCCCTCTCTGGGCCTGTCCCCTCCGTCAGATGAGAGGGTTGGGCCCGACTGGAGGTTCCCACGCTGGCAGGGCGAGACCTCGTAGCCAGGCTGGGGCTGGGCAGTGGCGGGTGGTGTTTCTGCCACCTGCCTGGGGGCCGGGCTGTGGGAGCAACTGACCAAATGCCCTTTAAGGTGACTGAATCCCCCAAGAGTCCGGATCAGGCTCTCGACAGTGAAAAGGCAACCACTGTTAAGGGTGACCAAGCATTTCACGTGTGGCATCTCATTCACGTTCCTGGCAGTCCCCTGGGGAGGGACGCCCCCACTTTTCAGATGGGGAAACCAAGGCTTAGTGAGACAGGTGAAGAGGCTCGAATAAAAGCGGCAGGAACGAGGTTCGAGCCCAGACAGGCTCGTAGCCACCACCATGGCCAGCACCAATCAGCACGTCCAGACTTGGGGTTGGCCGAGGTCTCTTTAACAGGATAGAAAAGGCGTGGGCCACAAAAGAAAGGGTTGGTAAGTCTCTCACTGCAATTAGGAACTTCAGTTCATCAGAAGACCCCATTCAGAGAAATGAAAGGCCACAAACTGGGAGAAATCGGCTCGGTACACAGCCCTGGCAATGGACGCAGACAGAATACGTCTTAAAGCTTCTGTCAATCAGTAAGTAAAAGACAAACAATGTCCTTCTTCAATGAGCAAAGGCCTTGAACAGCACTTCAACGGATGAAGAGAATATCCAGATGGCCAGTGGGCACACGGAACATGTTGTTTACTTGTCAGGGAAGTGCAAATTAAAAACACAATGAGATAGGACCACACACCCGGAAAGCTCAAGTTAAAAAAACAGAACAGGAGACATGTGGAGCAACTGGAACGCTCTCGCATTGCTGGTGGGGACACAGCGTGCTCCGGCTACCTCGGAAACCTGCTCGGTGGCATCTGCCAAGCTGAACACCGCCAGCGCTGTAACCCAGCAGCTCCACTCCGAGGAGCTTTACTGCACGCATAGCACGCCTCAGTGCACAAGCCAAAAAGAAAAACGGTTTTCGACGGTGAGGAAAGCCAGAGGACTGCAAGGCCTGTGCCTGAGGTCCCTCTCCTTCCCCCAGGAAAGGCCAACACCCAGGAAACCGTGGAGAGGTGTGTCCTGACCTTTGAGTTCCTGCAGGGCTTTCTGGGCAGAGAGGCACATTTCTGAAGAGCTGGAACTGTGCAAAGATGGGAGAATTTCTGAGCTCCCTGTCGCCAGGTGAGAAAACTGCACCAGAGAGGCTGCGTTAGCAGGTCTGGGGTGAGGCCCAGGAATCTGGATTTGTAACCTGAGATTCTGACATCAGCCGATTTGGAGGATGACTTTTCTGGAGGCTTCAGGAACAGATTTTTTTTTTTTAAGAGACAGGGTTTCACTCCGTCAGTGCAGTGATACGATCATGGCTTACTGCAGCCCTGAACTTCTGGGCTCAACAATCTTCCCGCCTCAGGCTCCTGAGTATCTGGGACTATAGCCACACACTACCACACCGAGCTCATTTTTTTAAAGTTATTTTTTGTAGGGACAGAGTCTTGCCATGTTGCCCAGGCTGGTCTTGAACTCCTGGCCTCAAGGGATCCTCCCTCCGTGGCCTCCCAAAGCACTAGGATTACAGATGTGAGCTACCACACCCCACCCAGGACCAGATTTTTAAAATTACTACACAGAGAGCATTTCCACTGGCCTGGAGGCACCGTACCATGGGACAGAGGCTGCTGCTGTCCTAACCAGAGTCTGTGTAGGGAGCTAGAGACCAACCTGGCAGAGGCTGGGCCTGAGATGTGACCTGTGACACTAGGAAAGAGGGATCCAGGACCCTGAGAGGAAAACAGGCCATTCTGTGAGCCAGACTCAGAAAGCAGCGGGTCCAGGCTTCGGGGTTTCATGGGCAAAAGACGTTTCAGGGCAAACACAGGATGGGCAACTTTTAATTTTGCCAAGGAAGGATGTTTAAAAAAACGCAAAACCCCCAACTACCGTTCAGCATCACTATTATTATAAAAAGAAAAGATTGCTTAACACCATTTAGTAAAACCCATAACGTCAAAATCAAAGTCCTCTATAAAACCGAAGAAGTTTAACTTTTTGAACTCTTTATTACGCTGTTTTTCTCATCTTATTGGAGATGGATACAAAACGTGCCCGCCACGGAGGGGCTGTGAACAGTGCCGGAAACCAGCGCCCTGGGCCGTGAACTCCCTGGGGCAGGGCCTCGTTTCCAAAGCTCCCCAGTGCCCTGCGCAGGACGGCTCCTGGCGGGTGCCCGGCGAGCGTCCCCTCACGGAGTCGATGAGTCCATCCACACGTTATCCGCCAGGCTGTGCGTGTCCGTGTGAGCCATTCCTTCCCGCGGCCGGTGCGCGGCTCGCTAACTGCGGCTGCCCAGGAGGGATGCCCTTCCCGAACTCAAGTGTCTAGAACGTGACTACTGCTTTATCAGGACACCGACCTCCCTTCCACGGCAATAATCCCTAAACAAGGACGGCAGCCATCGCTTAAAGACGTGGTTTTGAGTAACATGCCATCCTACACACGCTTTATGGCTGAAATCAGGGGCTAACTGCCATTCAGCAGGAAGAGCTGTCAGTCAACATACGGATCTGTGTGGGATTCTACCGGGAAAACAAATCGCAACTTCCAGTAGCAACACCTTGTACATTTCGGTCACGAGGGAGCAAAACTCAAAGGAACGGCCACGTGTGAAATGGATGTCCCTTCTTAGCCAAGCCGCAGGATGAAACGCACAGCGCTCGGGTGACAGTGGGAGCCTCAGGACAAGTCTAAGTGGATTCTAGCACCTGGGTGCCATGGATGGATGCGCCTACAGGTCAGAAGATGATGTGGGAACAGCAGTGTCCTGTCTGGCTGCGCTGTACCCTTGAGACCCCTGGCCAAGCCCCTCCTGGCTCACCCCGACAGCTCTTCCCACCCCAGGCTTGTCCTCTGCTTTTTTTTTTTTTTTTTCTGAGACGGGATCTCACTCTGTCTCCCAGGCTGGAGTGCAGTGGTGTCATCATGGCTCACTATAGCCTCTAACTCCTGGGCTCAAGTGATCCTTCTGCCTTAGCCTCCTGAGTAGCTGGGACTACAGGCATGTGCCACAATGGCCAGCTAATTTTTTAATTTTTTTGTAGAGACAGGATCTTGATATATTGCCCAGGCTGGTCTTGAACAACGGGCCTCAAGCGGTCCTCCCGGCCTCGGCCTCCCACAGTGCTGGGATTACAGGCATGAGCCACTGTGCCCTGCCCCTCTGCTCATTTTAGATCTGCCTGGGCCTCTACAGGACGGACTCTGCCTGGGGAGATGACCTGCAGAGTGGCCAGAGCTGCCTTGGCCAGGCCTGTCTGAAAGTGACGCCTCTGAGCACCTGGCCCCCAGCCCGGGTCTCCCGCAACGACCACCCCAGCCCCAACCCAGCCTGCACTTCCATTCACCTCTGTGCCTTTGCACATGCGGTTTCCTCTGCCACCTGGCGGGCTCCTTTAAGGTCCAGCTTAAGTCGCCCCTCTCCTGGCCAGGGAGAGCCAGCTGCTCAGCAGGCCTGAGCGTGTGGTCTGTCCCGCTGTTCTGTCACCGCTTTCTCCCTCTGCCGGGTTCTGAGGCCAATGCTGTGCTCTCGAGCCCCGCCTCAGCCAGGCTAGTGGGAAAGGCGTGGGGCACACAGGGAGAGAGGCTCAGGGGCGGCGAAACTTCTTCCTGTCCATGCCCCGCCCCACCCCTCTGCCTCCTCTCTGCCCTCCCTGCTTGCCCCGGTTTCCACTGGTGTAAGGGACAAAAGAAATGTAACTTGGAGCTTTCTTCTAAGATGCCAGTGCCGCGAACTGCCATCCGTAATTCGTCCGCCTGTCTGTCCATCATCCACAGACTGTCCCTCTATCATCCATCCATCACCCGTTCATCCATCCGTTCACCCACCAGTCTGTCCATCTAGTGTGTGTCCATCCAACCATCCATCCGGCGCCTGTTCATCATCCCCCCACCCATCTCCATCCAGCGTTAACTGAGCTGACTCTGTGCTGGGACCCTGCAGGAGTGGGCCACCTAGGAGGTAGAGCTGTCCCAGGAAGTGTCCAGAAGGAGCCAGGTGACCACATATATCAAAGAAAGTCTGCACTCATCAGTGGCTGCAGCCGTGTCACCTAGAGGGGCTTGTTAGAAATCTGGGTCCCCAGCCCAACTCTAGACCTGTAGGGTCAGAATCTCCAGGGGTGGAACTTCGACACCTGCACCTCTCATGAGCCCCCTGGAGCTTCCAATATATGTCACAGTCTGTGAGGAGCCGCCACAAAGCTTCCCTCACCCACCTGTTCATTCTTCCAGATGCTCAGTAAACATCTGTGGAACAAGAAGTAAACGAATTTATGAAGCATTGAGTGGGGGAGGTCTGGCCCATCTTGTGCCAGCACTGGGTCCTCCTGTCCCCACCTCCTTGCAGATTCTCCAGTCCCAACCTGAGGAGGGGCTGCTCCCCCTTGGTCTGTGCATCTTAGAGTTGGGGTGCTCTGCCTCACTGGGGGGTGTCCTTGACTTGGGCGTATGAAGCTACAGGGGGCGAACACAGCACCTCTTCCTGTTACACTAGCTTTATCTGGGAATAAGTCACGTAAACCCTGGTTTTTATGCAGACAACAAATACTCCAACATTATGGAGCACAACACACACTTGCATATGAATTTTAGAGATAAAACAAGAGACTTCAAAGAAATCCCCAGCTCACAGCAGCTGAGGACACGTCCCAGGCCCCAGGGGAGTGTGATTTTGGGTAACAGCGGGAAAAGCTGGCAGGAGGAGGAGCCCCACAGACCAGGGCCCTGCCCCAGAGGGACCTCTGTGCGCAGCACAGCCCGGCCCAGCCCGTC